TCATCTGACCACCACACCCTACCTGAGGTGATGCTGTCCCCGGAAACCAACTGTCTAGCCACTCTTCCCTGTCCACTCTACCACATGCTCTCATGCTAATAACATGAATTGTGGATTCCAGGGTACGGAGCTTGGTGGGTTCCCCAAGCCTCCAGGAGCAAGGACTGGAGGGAAGGAAACTAGTTCTGGGCTCCTGTAGCTCTGCTCTGGGTTTCTGCAGATTCCTACTACAGCCATGGACTCTTGGTCTTGTCTTTATCTCTTCTGTTCCAGGCATTCAGTTCCTGGACTTCTCCCTGGGTACAGACCATACCTGAGATCTTTTCTGCTCAGGATTTTCTTAGGCTTTTTTTCTTGCGTTCTCATTAGCAGCCCCACCTACAACAGCCACAGCCTCCCTGGCCAGTCTCCCGGCCCTTCGTTCCCCAGGGCACACTGATTACAGCTTGGCTATTCTCTCTCGCATCCTTGGGCTTCTGCCTAGGATGCTTTTCTCCCGTCTTGCCTACCTGGAAAATCACCGTTCCTCCTTCTAGGTCTGGCTCAAAGGCCTCTGGAAGTCATCTTCCCAGACAGAACAAGCAAAGGCCCTTCCCAGCCTCTCCTGCTGCTATTTAGTCCTCTGATTTCTAGTAGTTAGCAAACTCTCTGAGACAGGAATTGGGTGTTATTTGTCTCTTTCATGCCTAACATGGACTTGAAATAGGTGCTTATGGCATTTGCTTGCACAAAATGGAAGTTTAGGCTGACTGCCTCTTCTTCAGCTCAGGCCTGAGCTTGGAAAACTGGGAGAGGGACAGGTGCAGGGTGGAAGTGGAGGGGGTAGGGATATGTATGGAGCCAGAAGAGAGGATAAAATTAAAATAAATAGCTAATTCTTCCTAATAATGGCTGATTTCCTAACTTGATATTTGGCATTAATTATAGTTACTTGCTGGGAGATTATGAAGAACCAGCCTATCTCCATCTCTGACTTAAGAGCCATAGTAAAGACAAACTAGGTTCATTCCTGTTTATGATTACACTTCTGTTTCTCAAGGACTGGGCTATGCCCTACCTGTAACCTTAATTACCACTGATTCTGTACTTTCTGTTCCAGATATATATAAATGTTTTTTTATAACCATCTCAAAACCTTACCTTTGCTCCAAAAGGTTATATGACTATCCGTGAGTACCTTGTTATGACTATGACTACTTGTTATGCCCATGTTGCAACCATGTCTTTGTTTCAGGAGGGTCTAACTTGTTATGCTTATGTTCTGCTCCCAAAACCCTGCCTATTTTGCCCCATTTGGAAACCACTGAGCTGTATGAGCCTGGTCTTCCTCACATACAAGGCTTAACTCTCTAACCCCGCCATGGGGGGAAGCAGCCCATTCACACAAATAAAAAGGCTTGCTTTAATTAATTGCTTGCTTTAATTTTGCTATGGTGATTTGGGTCAGTGGTCTTTCTCCTCCCATCTTTGGGATTAACAAATAGGGCATTAATCATTACATGTGGCACTCTGTAGAGCAGTGAAGACGCTGGGTGGCCTGGCAGCTAGGATGCTCAGACACTTGGAGGAAGATGGACCAGGCTTAGACAGAATTTCTACGTGTGTTGCTTGGGAGTAGATGGTTTCGGCCAAGTTGTTCATGCTTTGTTAAAGTGGTCCTCTGTCCAGGGGCTTGAAGGTCACTCTGGAAGGCCTGAGTCTGGTGAGAGAGGAAAGAGGAGGGGGCCTGTGGTTCTGTTGGAAACATGGGCTCAAGTTTCAACAAGAATTAGCCTTCTTCCCCACTGTGCTTAGTGCTACCAGAGCCTCTGGGAGAATCCTGGATCAGTCTCCCTGGAGAGAGGAGAAAAAAAGGTAGGTCCAGTTAGGTAGCGCTTTTTGTTCAGGCTTCCAGGAGCAGGTTCCTGTTCTGACAACCCTGCTAACTGGTAGTGTGTGTGACTTTGGACTTCTGTTTCCTCTTTAAGTTAAGCAAGAGGCAGAGGAGGGGTCAGCTAGATTCCAAAAACAGGAGGAGTGGAGCCGCATAAGGAGCTGTTTGCTCCTCTAGCCACTTGTCCAAATCCACCCATTCTGGAAGGTCAATCGCAATGCCGCTTCTTTGTGATCCTGTCTCATGACGAGGGCTGGCATTAGTTGGTGTCTGCTGCCCTCATTAGAACACGCTGTCTGTCACCCAGGGCCTTTGTTTCCCTGTCCTTTGTGGGATGCCCCCACCAAATCACCACACTGTTTCACTTCTTCAGGTATCTGGAAGTGTCACCCTCTCCATCCTGTGGAGAAGACAGCCTCACCATATTTATCATGTCATCCCTCCCCCCTCCCCCGTTGGGTGTTACTTAAACTTTAAACATGAAAGCTAAGAAAAAGAGAGGCACTCAGGAGAGCCCCATCTCACTGGCCTTTACCACAGATACTACAGACATCATTTTGTCTCCAAAGGGTTGCTAAGAAACCTAAGTGAGAACAAGGGTGATTCCTGATGGCGCTACAATGGATAAGGTCTCAGGTATGCGGAGAAGATGGATGCCTTTACTGTAAACAAAGTTAATTGTCAAACAAGGTCTGTGGAAAAGAAAAGGATGTGCTAAAGGCTAGGAACATTCCATCCTTCAGTCTGGACCACTGCTTTTTCAACAAAACATCTGTGTATGAGGGGAGCATTAACATTTTGTGTAGGGACAACTTCACAGCAGATGTTGTTAATTGTGTTGGGATTCTCAGATAGCCAGAGGGGTTTACCCGACTTCCAGGGTGAGGGCTTCCTGTCTTTCCCCTCTCAATTTTCTTTGTCTTTCTATCGTCCTCTGCTCTCCCATCTTGAGACTTTTCCTTTAATCTTAGAGGTGACGAAGGACAAAGTTGTGTCTTCTGCATTTTCTTCCATGCTGGATGGGGACTTAGACCCCACTTATCCATGTATTATAAGTCTTCACCCATGCAATCTGAGGGGAGTGGAGCACAAGCACATCTGAGCTCATAAATAGTGAGAGCCACTTCTGAAGGGAATCTGGAAAACAGGATGTTGTGACTGGATCCATTAAGACATACATGCGCAAAAAAGCACATAGTAGATTGTTATGACCAAGATCAATACCCAAGATAGCAGGACCTTTATATAGCAGTGTCCCTGATAATCATGATATACATGGTTAAACTTTAAGGTAGAAGCTGATAGTTAACTGGGGTTTATAAATCTTAGTGGGCTGGGACACACTGTTTCAGCCGTCGGGCATATGCCCAGCACAGTGAGGACAGCAGCAGGAAGTTCCCCTCCTGTGTCTCCTGAGAATAGCATCTGAAGGAGTGAGATCCAGTTATCACTATGTTTGAAACAGCACTTAGCCACTGTTTGGCACTATCCTATTAATTATGTCTCATCTCATTTTGTTCCCAGTTACACAATCCCTGTCACAACTCTCGGAGGCCTCAAAGAACAATTGAATGAATGAATGAATGAATGATTGAATGAATGAATGATCGAATGAATGAATAACACACTATTATCATAACTTCTGGGTCTCTTGGGGGTGGGTTTTAAAATTTTTACTTATTTAGTTTTTGTTCTGGTTTGATTTAAGGGGGCAATTGACTAAAAAGCTCCAGGGCTGGAGAAGTGTTTGTGACAACAAGGAAACTACATCTTTTTCTTTTTTAGTTTTCCGAGACAGGGTTTTCCTATGCAGCTCTGGCTGCCCTGAAACTCCGTCTGTAGACCAGGCTAACTTCAAACTTAAGTATCTGCTGACCTCTGCCTCCTGAGTGCTGGGATTAAAGGTGTGTGCCATCACCACCCTGTGCATACTTTTCATTTCTAATCGGACATTTGTCACAGGCCAGGGAATATTTAAAGTCTTTACACTTTATCTCACCTAGCCTTCATGAAACACTTTGAGGGCTTAAATTTAGAGAACATGGTTTCTCAGAGTATCACATAGCTTAGGAAGCGATGGAGTCAGGATGGGAACCTGGCTCTTCAGGCACTAAAGCTCCATTTTCCATTCTGCTGCCTCCTCATGGGTGGATGGTGGTGGTGAATCTGGGGTGCTCTGAGCCCGGTGGGCATTCTACCCCCAGTTTTGGCGCAGCTACTGCAAACTGTCCAATATTTTTTCCTTCTTGCTTGTCTTCGTCCTCTTTCATTTTCCTTGTCCCCAAGCCCAGAGCTTCCTTCATGCTCCTAATTTTTGAGGATAAGCGTTTTCACTTGCAGCCAGTGGATTGATTCATGGACCTCCTAAGCCCGTGCTCCTCAGTCATCTAGCTTCAAGGCCCAGGTTTCCAGAGCCCTGTGGTGAAGCCCAGCTCATATCCTTGGTGGTGCTTGCATGTGATGCCCATGAGAGACCGAGAGGCAGGAACTTGTCTTGTCACCCTACTTTTCCAGCTGAATTAAGATCAAAGGGATTCTTTGTTAGGGAGCCAAGAGGAACACAGCCCAGGGTGATCAAGAGGGACCATATCTCCTTGGGGATAGAGATAAAGAGGTGTGTGGTGGGTCAAAGGACTTAAGGGTCAGGCAGGAGGCACCACATCCTAAAAATAGTTGTATCATTTGGGATGGTTTTGAGTTTGGGGCTTTTTAAGAACTTGCAGTGGGGTACCTGTAGCACAGTCAAAACTGGGGAGCCCGGTTAGGTTAGAGTGTCTCTCGTCCTTTAGGGGTGGGCTATGGGCCTCAAGTGGGTAACAGGAAGAACCTCGAGGTGACCCTAAAGACTCAAGAATAGGAGATGTGCTTGGTGGATATTTTAAGCGTTACTATGTAGATACCTGGACTCCGAGGTACCACTTACATAGCCTTGAGTACAGTAGAAGGCCTCCCCCAGCCTTCCAGCGCATTTCTGGGCCTTGGACCCTAAGGGAGCAAGCAGACATGGTCTTGTTTTTGTTGAATTAGGAGGCTGCAGTTGCAGTTCCTTTTTTTTTTTTTTTTTTGCCTTGGGGTCCTGGCAGGCCGAACAGAGACAGTGCAGACAGTCTCAGCTGTAGGTGTTTTTGGAGCTCTCTTCCAGTCTTCACCTCTGTGGGCTTTGTAGAGAGATGGGTGACAAGAGACAGAATTTGCCTCTGACTCTTCAGTTCTTACTCTCCAAAAGACACACATTGCATCAACCATGTGACACAGAGTCAGGCCCAAGGGACATGAGAAATTAAAAGGGACAATGATGGAGCCAGGATGGGCAGCAAGCAGGACTGAGAGATAGTATGTCTGAAGGGACAGGGGAGCAAGCAGGAGTTGGAAAGGGAGCTGCAGAGAGGAGGAGCAGCTGGGACCTTGCTTCTGCCTCCCTAGATCTGATTGTAGAATAAAAAGGGGAGCTAGGTCTGTGACTGAAGGAGGTGGGGAGGAGCGGAGGAAAGGAGGTGATGGAGAGATGGGAGAAGGAGCTTCCTGGAGGGAGGCAGGGACTCAGCAACAGCTTAGGTAATTGGCTAACTAGAGTCTCTTGCTGCCGTCAGGAGGAGCGAGGGCTGAAGGCACAGACTGCAAGATAGATGCACTGTGTTCCACCGGCACATCCATGCCTGTATGCCTGAAGAGCCGGCAGGGCTGCTACTTCAGGACATGTTCTGCTCAGCTGGCTACTGGCTGCAGGTGACAGGTGGCTTTCCTGCCCAGACATAGAACAGAAAGGATATGGCTGTGGAGATGCGAGTGATCCCCTTAAGTCTCATGGCCTCATTCCTAAGCTTGGTGATAGATCCCAGGCCACTCTTTCCAGATTCTACCATGACTGGTGAATTCCTACCCCCCCCCCCAGCTCTGCAGTCTCAAAGGGAACTTACCGTGCCCAGTGTAGCTGAGGCAGGGTGCAAACCCTCCTCCTTCCTTGTTCTCTCCGTTCTAACAATCCCTGTATCCTCTCCTCCATCATTGCTACCTTTTCATACAGTATGGTGAGAAGAACATATGCAGAGCTCAGAAAACTTGGAGAGGTGCACCCAGAAAAGAATCTGGAAGAGAAGAGACTCAAAACCTCACTGTGCGTACACAGCGCAGCGCTCTGCCTGACTTCTCTTCCTGACCCAGAGACCTGGCCAGTTGAGTGTGCAGATGCTTTTGCATACTTAGTCTAAGGCGGAGAAAGCCTCTCCTCACAGTAAGAGATGCATCTCCTTACACCATTATGGTTCTTCCAATAACACTATAAATACAACCTCTTATCTACTCTGAAGGAGTTGCCACTATTTACTCGACCATTGGACTTGTATCAGACATTTGGTGATACTTTGTTTTCCCTAATTAGAAGCTCTTCTTGGAGAGTTATTTTTATGCTTGTTTCTACCTGGACAGTATTTCCACCTGAGGGTGGGCCCTAATCCTGAAAGTCCTAAAAAGCTGGCTCCGGGTTAAAAAGCACAAGGCCTTCACCTTTCCCTTCCCCTACCTGGGTGTTCGCAGTGCTTCCCATGGCTTGCCCTTTAATATGTGGCCAGGGAGACTGCCAGGAAAGCACCAACTACCACCTACCCACCCCCGCATCACAGGGTCATGGGTGAGGTGGTTTCTTTCATTATTTCCCACTAACTGTGGGATGGTGTCTTCACCCCAGAATCCAGCTGTTTCAGGCCCTGTCCAGGTGGACACTATGGATTCAGGCTGAGGAGACAGCACAGGCCAAAGGCCAAAGGCTTAACCTTCCTGCACTGTCCCATGACACATGGGGTCTCTTCCAGTTCTCCTAAGCAGCAGGCACTGATGGAGTCAAGGCCTACTCTGGCGTCTACTTCTGCCTCCATTTTTAGAAAGAGGCATGGGGACCATATCTAGAAGGAAAGACAGTCACGGCAATGCTCAAGTGGTATCCACGGTGCCCAAGAGTCCTTACTGTAGGGAAATGTCCAGTTCAGGTTTCCCAGGTGATTGCTAACTTATGTGGGTAGCTAGGGCACACCAGTGTATCCCATCCCTTCATTTATGGAGTATGGATTGGGTAAGCCATGAATCGTGAATATTAGGGCTGGGTTAGGAGTAGAACCAGAGAAGGGCCTTGGGTGGTTGCTCTTTAAGGGGCCCAGAAACAGGTTGGGGAGGCTGACAGGTATGGAAATGCTCAGGACAGACTCCTGGTGGCTCCAAGCAGGGGCACTCTAGTCAATCTGACGGGGCGGGGTCTCTTTGGTTGAGAAAGCAGTGTAATTCCAGCAGGCACTGGGAGAGGATCAGGCTTGGGTTGGAGATATGCAAATAAATTTTACAGGCATATTGGTCAGAGATGGAGGAGGAGGAGGGAAGGCATGGCTTGGGGGCCTTCTGAACCGTGTCCCTGGGTTTGGTTTTCAGTTTACCCACGGTGTGGGATAGGACGGCACTTTTCTGTAAGACCAGGAATAAGCAGAAGGGTGAGGTGGGGAGCTGAGCCAAGGAGATGTGGAAAATGACTTTCAGTCCAAGTATGGCACTCCTCAGGCTGCTGGCCGCCTGTGCTCAGGGAAGGCTTTCTCCGATGGAAGCCTGGTTTGATGATTGAAGTAGGTGGTTTCTTCATGGGACCTGAGGTGGCCCCTTACAAGACTTTTTCATATACACTTATGTGGCAACTCGCCAACTCTCCCACTAGGACCCCACTCCTCACGTAGGGAGGATGACGCTTGAGAGCAAGCCACACACTTGGCTTTGACTCCACAGGATTCCTCAGACTCCCAAGTAATTAAGCTGAATTGCATCTGCCTCTAAGGTGTGAAGAAACAAGGCTCAGAGAGGCCCAAAGAATGAAGAGCACCCAGTGAGGCCCACTCTGAAGGCCATTTCTCTGCATTCCAGGCAAGGCCAAGGTGGAGCCACAGGGGTGGCAGTGAAGAGGAGAGCAGCATTCTGGGAAGAAATAGGGAAGAAAGAAGGAAGAGAATGCTGGAGAATCGGTGTTCACCATGACCGTGTGGCTGGGGACCTCTGGCCTCCATTCTGGAAGCACGCAAGTCTATCTCCAGATGTAGACTTGTGCCTTAAACACCATCTTACTCTAGGCCTCAGACACTTCACACCCTTAATGATCCGTAGCATGGGAATGACACCTCCTGACTGCCACTTGCTATGAAGGACACTGCCTGAGAGACTGTGTCTTCTCTGGGGTGGCAGGGGCATTCAGACTGTGATCAGGAGTGGGGACTCTCAGGACTTCACCTAGGTTTAAATACTGTCATCACTTGCCAGTTCTGTGACCTTGGGGGTATTGCTTGCTTATCCTGAGCCTGTTCCCTCATCTGTAAAATGGGGATAATAATAAGCCTGCCTGCTGTTGTGTGCTGCGGAGATGGAATGGGGGACAAGTCTCCACATGTTGCTTGTTCCAGAAAAAAACAAACAAAAAACAAAAAAATTCCCCCAAACCCCCCCCCACTTGCTGTGATTCTCTCATACTGGAGTACTACTTGCATCTTTTGGCAAAACCACCCTTGGGTAGTTTCCAGTGCTGTGATTTGTCCCCAGCATGTGAGGCTTATGGGAATCAAGCTTCTGAGTCCCTTGTGGCCATATCTCTTTCTCTCTGGTGTTCTCATCCTGCATCCCAGACTAATGGAATCATTATTAATGTTCCCTAATTCCAGAGCCTGAGACCCAGAATATACACTGAGATCCACCTGGTTCAAATCCTTGTTTGTCCTTCAGTCTGAGATGGAGACTGTGACCTCCCTGATACTATTAAGACCTAACACTGCTAGTCCTAGCTCAAGTTTTAGTATTTCCGGTACCCTCTCCCTCAGAGACTATAGGAGTCAGAGATGTGGCAGGAACCCTTTAGGACCTGAGCCCTGGGCATGAGAGGCCTCCTGGGCAGGTGGGAGACCTACTTCAAAGAGAATGGCTGAGAAAAGCTCTTTAGGATGGGGTAGGTTGGAAAAAACATGCTATCATGCTTCTGGACAGGGGAAAGAGGTGTGATGGGGATTCTGGCTTTGTCTTAGAGAGAGAAGGCGTTTCAAGCCAGTGAGGAGAGACGGGGGCTTTGAGGGGTTGGAGAGACGGGGGCTTTGAGGGGTTGACTGAGGACAACAGCAAGTTCCAGACATGCTGGGCAGATGGTATGGAGAGGGCAAAGTGGGGGCAGGGACATGGCTCTTCTGTTTGATTGACAACTACAGAAGACTTGCAATACTTAGCAGCAGGTGCAGCATCTCACAGTTCTCAGCTCCAGGTCTCTTCCGGGAGCATTAACAATTTCTTTCTTGCTTAGGGTCCTGACCCAATATTGCCAGGAAGCCTCTTCCAGCTGGCATTCTCCAGAGATGCCAATCATACAGGTCCAACGTGGACAGGGAGAGTCCTTCATTAGCGTGCTGAGTATTAGGCTTCCAAAGATCCTGGGACCGAAGCTGAGAAGCCTGATCCTGGGGTCTATCGAGTGGGGGACACTGCTCCAGGGAGCACAAGCAGGCAGCTCTTGGAACAGTGGGGTATTTATTGAACTTGATGCTCATATCTATGTTGTGCAGTCACATGGGAGCTCTGCATCCAAGGAGCCTAGAAGATGTAAACTGTGAGACTGACCAAGATCAAATAACTCAGATGGAGCTCAGAATGGATAAGTGTTGTAGGAAAAGATTGGCAGGTGACTTGGGTCCAGGAGGTCAAGGACTTGCCCAAGGTCACACAGCTAGTTAGCAGCAAGACCACACTTCAGACCCACTCAGACGAACCCAGTCAATGTTTATGATATGATCAAAAGTGCTTTGGGTATCTCCCTTGTGTGTAAGATGGACCAGGTGTGAGCAGTGCTTACTCACTGGGATGGAGATATGAGTCTTACACTTGATCTTAGCCAAAACGCCAAGAAGCTTTGAGATGTGGGAGTCTTCGGAGAAGGCTCCTTGATGCACGGGCTTGGAGATGCAGCCGTTGGCTGCTCACGTTGACTGAAGAGAGAATATTCAAAGCCTGGAGTGAATGAGAATGGCAAGGGCTGGGAGGAAGAGCAGGAGAGAGAAAGAAGGGAAGAGAGAGAAGGCAAGAAAGAGATAGTATCTGAAGTGAGTTCTCTCTGTGGGGGGTTCATAAGGGTTGGGGAGAATCTAGACCCTGCAGGGCACATCTCCCTTTACTGAAAGGCCATATTGTATAAGGTGAGGGGTCTCCAGACGAGCTCTTCCAGAGGGCAGATGGCGGCTTCCATGGGTGCAGGGCCTGGGGAACAGTGGTTGGAGAGGCTGATGAAGGTTCAGTGCCTGAGAAGACCATTGCAGAAATGTATCCAGGACTGATGAGCATGCAGTGAGGGTGACGCGGGAGGGGCCAGACTGCAAGAGGCCAATGTGTGTGATGAAACGGACCTTCCCCTGCGCAGTGCTGTTTATCTCACATGTCCAGGTCACAGCAGAATCAAACAGTGAGAGAACCAGAGGTTAACAGGGTCCAGCCTCCTTGTTATGAGATGGGAAAAGCTTGGGGCCCAGCAGTGGGAGCAGAGGAGACAAGTCTGCTGGACATGCATAGGGCCTGTGTCAGGTACAGGTGAATCTGGAGGTGATAAAACCAAGCTTCCTCTCCTTGCTTCTTGAAAAACAGTGAGTGTCCCAACCTTCGAAGTAGCTAAGTATAGTACCCAGCTCTGTACTACAAGGACTGGCCAATGCAATCCAAGATGCTGTGAAGGCACCATGTTGATGCCCCATCTAAGAAGGAGTCCAGAACGCAGTTTCGAAAGTGGTTTGTACTAGATGAGGCATGCCTGCCTAACATTAGGACTGTTGGTTCCGTATAATAAAAGACAGGAGCTTGGGCTTTTAAAACTGCCTCCTAGACATATAAATTAAGCTGTTGGAAACTTCCTGATAATGTCAGGGAATTAGTGTGTGGTTCTCCAGTGACCACAAACTCTGAAGAATGGAGACATTCCAGGGCCTGCGCTAGCATCTGAATCACCTGCCTTAGCTCTGGAGGCTTAATTCTGAGAACTAAGTCTTGGTCACTGACCATGGAAGTATCTGAAATAGTACTTGGTCTATGATAGAAATCTAGGCTAGCAAGTGGCCTGTGATGGTTTTAGATGTTGTAAAACATGAGTGATTCCAACTTGTGCGATCCCTGGAGAGGGGTTCTGGTCCACCCAATGGTTTAGTTTTGTGATTACTGTAATTATGTCTCCATAATGCATGCTGCAGGCAAGGAAAAAAGACAAGCAGGCCCTAAGCTATAATACCCTAGGAACTTGCACAGCCTCAGACTTTTTTTTAAAAAAATTGTAACAAAGGGCTTGGATGTGCTGTATAGCCTGCTTACTTTGGTTTTAATGATTCCCCGAGGTTTCTGCATGGCCATGTCAACAAGGATAAGGCAGATTTAGGTTGCAAACTTTAGTTGTGTTGATGTTGTACAAACAAACTCAGGTGGAACATTTCCAGTCATCAGAGGGCTGCATCACTAGGCCTCAGTTTCCCCATGTGCAAAATAAGGCATTTGTAGTCTAGTATGGCAGCACATAGTGTGTAATCCCCACACACTTGAGAGGCTGAAGCAGCAGGACTGGGAATTTGAGGTCAGCCTGGGCTACATAGTGAACTACATAGAGATTCCTGTCTCAATTTAAAAAAAAACGGTAATTTATAAATGTCCAAGTCAATTGTGTCTTCTGTAAAAACTCTTCTTGGCTACGGCCTTTCTATTGGGTGTAGAGTGAAGTAAAGGAGAGGACTCAGAAGAAACACTGGATGAGGGACTGTGAGTAAGTCATCACAGTTGGTTGAAGCTGCCTTGGAGTGCCGCACGCATGGTGAGCTGCTCCTTTCTCTCACCAGGAGGAGGAGAGCTTTTAGTCTTGATTGGTTTTGACTTGCACTCTCGATCCTGTGAGAAGCATCATTCTTCACATGCATCAAACATTTGTTTTCTGACATGAGACCAGTGTAGTCCTGTCCTGTGCTACTATGCACTTCTGGTGGTACCTTGTCACTGCTCCGAGGGTGCATCCCTCCCAGCCTCATAGCCTGTCACGGTGCCAATGACCATGGCCATTTGCAAGACATGTCAGCTAATGGGTGTCATTAAGAAAAGGGACATCTAAGCGGCAACAGCTATCTCCAGACTTCTGGTTTTCTTCATTTATGCTTCAAACCCTTCCCTGCTGGGTCCCAGTCACTGCTCTCTGTGCAAACTCCTTCCCAGCCCTGAGGCCAGTCTGCTTTCTTTCATTGTGGGTCTCTGACTGTCAATGCTGGCGGACAATGTCTCCCTCTTCACATCTGGATCCCTGGTTATCTTGTTGATGAAGACCAATATTCTTGACTTAGTTCAGCCTAGCCTCCTAGTTCTAAAAAAGCAAAGGCAGAAAAGAGGAGGGTAAACCCCCTCCTACCTTAATCATGATTGGTTATATCCAAGAATGCTTATAGCACATCTTTTTCATATTCAGTAACTAGCCAGCAATTTTGCAAGGCAGCCACATAATTTCCCCCCTGACTGATGCTGTGTCTCAGCTCTCACCAACTGCTTCTTATCCAGTTGCTTCTAGATGTGTCCATGCCCTTAGTTAAAGGCCACCAGAAACATACTTTTGGACAGGTTTTTTTGTTTGTTTTTGTTTTTGTTGGCTCATTGCAACCAAAGTAATACATATACTACTCGTGGGATCTTGGGGGGAATTTGGGTAAGAATGTTAGAAAGGACTTAAGGATTTGGGCTTAAGTGATCTGGGCACTCAGGGATTTGGGACTTCTCTGGACTGGGTACTGACAGATAAAGACATGTATTCTAAATGAGCATCCTCATAGGTTTTTGCTGTGTGTGGTAGTGGCATGTGCAATATATGCATGTGTGTACCTGCAAGAGTGTGTGAAGTTCAGAAGTCTAAGTTAGGTGTCTTCCTCAATTGTTGTTCACCTTGTTTTATGAGAGTCTCTTACTAACCCAGAGCCACACCCCTCCCCCAGTGCTGGTGTTACAGATGTGCATTGCCATGCTCAGGGTTTGTTTTTCATTTTTTAAAATGTGGGTGCCCGGAACCACATTCAGGTCTTTACGATTTTACAACAATGAGCACATTAATCACTGAACTGTCTCCCAGCTCCTCACAGTTCATCCATCCATAGGAAGTCTTAAGGAATACATGAGTCTCCCACCATAACTGTTAGAGAAGCAACCATCTCTCTGGTTAGCTAGACCAGGTGATCATCTCATCATTTTTCTGTGACTCAGAGGACACTCAAATTTCTATCTTTTAGTAATTATACGATGAGAGATTTGACTAGATTCTTTTTGGGTTAGGTTCTCTGTCTTCCCTTTCTTTCCACTTAGAAGAGGAAGGAGGGAGATGGGCCAGGTCAGTACCTGGGTAGGGCCTGCCTTCCTTTTCCTGGTGTTCGTCTTTGACCAAGGGCAGAGTCAGCTTGTACACATGTGTCTGTGGCACATGGGTCTTTCCGCTGTCAACATTTTCCCACTTAGAGGTTTCTGTGACTGGATAAGAATATTTTTTCATGCCTTTTTGGAAGATTATGCCTTAAATCTGATGAAACAGGGCTGCACCAAGTGCAGGAAGACTGAACAGAAGACACCAGTAGCAACACAGGCTGGGATGGAAGCGGACTGTAGCAGTTCTAAGAACAGACCCTGAAGACACG